CAGTAACACATATTAAGTTCAGTTGGCAAGTTATACACTGCCTTATATATTTTCTCCTGTTTTGAAATGATACTTAAAAATCTTGTGATTTTAACAAGACAAAAACAACTTGTCCCAGCTTGTTGATTTTTTTCCCCCTCCACATAGATCTAAACTCCTTGCTGGTGGGATAGTGTCTTTTGGCTCCCTTCCTCTTCCCCTGCTCCCCACTACTTATTTAGTGCAATGCCTTGTGCATAGCATTTGTTCAAATACATATTTTGTCAGCTTGATAACTTGATTTTACTGGCTGAATTAGTTTCAGTCTAGGGATTAAGAGGAGCTTTGGAATATAGAGGGATGATTAAACTCTTCTATCCACTATCCTCATCATTTAGTAACAAATACTCTCTAAATGGGTGATTTTGTGGTAAGCCATTGACTACGCCAGAGGAATGGATAGCACACAAAACTTACCAATCCTAGTGAAATTTATGAAAGTTTTTTTTAATAGCTGATTCAGGCCCTAGGAGCTAGAGACATAAAATATTGGCGTTCTCCTAATTTATGCCTCGCTTCATGTTTGTTAATAGGGTATAATATAATTTACCCAGACTACATAGTCCCTGCAGTCTCAGATTAGCTTGTGGAAGCAGAAGCATCAAATATCACTCCATAACTTTCCCCTTTTTTTGAAAGTAAATTCTCACCTCTGATGTGTCAGTGATATTTCGCTAGTTTTTCATTCTTCCCTGGGGATTTGCAGCACTGGTTGGAAGACCCTAGTCCATATCCCTTCCTCAGATCCTTCTGAGCTGTGTGACCCTGAGCAAGTCACATTATCTGCTAATAGTGCCTACCTTCTAGCGTTGTAAGGATAAAATGAAATTATATTCGTGAAGCACTATATAAATGTTAACTGTTATTAATAGTAGCAGTGGGGAGGAGACAAAGTGGCAGATATTATTTACCTTTCCAAATCTGCATTTTGTGATATTTAAGCATTGCTGAGGTAAAAGGAGAAAATGAGGGGAATGAAGGAGAGAAGAGTCTGATTCATTCCCTGCCTGATTTTTCTGGATTTATCAGACTCAGTCTTATGGCCTTGACTGACGTCTGATTAACTTTCAAAAATCCAGAAGCTCACCCCTCTACAAATATGGTCATTATGACCATTTAGATAAGGGGTTCAGGGAATGCAATTTTAGCAAATGACAAAACCAAAGAATGTCATTAAATTTTATGTGTAGCCTGAATTTCTGACTAATTTCAACCCCTCATTGTTCATCTCCAGACACTGCTGTCTCTATAGGTGCATTAAGTGGTAATGGCTTTGCTTCAGTATTTCATTTATTGGGATGAACTGCATCTATAAAGTGGTTCAGCTGTCAATTCCTTGGGGCTAAAATAGACCACTGGGACACCGTCTTTAAAATGAACATGTCATGTATAGGAGCATGTAGACATAGAAGAGCATTTTAGATAAGTAGTTCTTGTATTCCAATGCAATGTTTATAGCTTATATAGTTATATTGGATAACTGACAAAAACTGCCTATAAGGCTAACCAGTTTATCTTTGGAAATATTTAAGCCTTGTTCAGTTACTACTGAAAGATAGATAGGATTTTTAGATTTTATTTTTATTTTTTCCTAAGAGGGAAGAAATAACTGCAGTACTATAATAGGCTAATATACCTATGCTTCTTTTTGGTTTCGTAACGCTTATTCTAACCTTCCATTCCCATCTCTTTGGGAACGGAAGTTCACAAATTTAAAGTTAGTCACTATGAACAGACTCATTTTTGCAAACTGATGCCAAAACACATCATATTGTTTGCAAAAGCCTGAGGCTGCTGAAATTTCATAGAAAAGGCAAGGAAAGTTAAAAAAAAAAAACCTCCAGCCTTTAGATGATTGTAAATAATAGTAGGTGAAAAATAGTGGATTGCCAAAGTTTGTTAAAAAGTCATGAAATTCCTACCTTGCGTTTTCAGACACATTTTAGTTCTTTCCTATTCCTCTCCCACCTCTCCCTATCGTGAAGCCTCTCCCAGTGTTGAGGGTAGGAAGATGCAGAAAGGAGACAGGATAGAATTTGGCGAAGCCCAGAAGTGCTCAGAAAAAAATCATGGTGTTTTGGTTCTTGGCTGCTTAATTGTTTCCTTCCAAACTTTTCTGTTTCTATTTAGTGAACCACCATGTCCTTTCAGGACATTCAGGTTTGCAGCCTGTGTCAACTTTGGCTCTTCCCTCTCCCTCAGGCCCTCTGTCCAAGCATCTGAAAACTCTTAATGATTCTACTACAGTGTCCCCTAGTATTCCCTTTCCCCCACTCATATAGTCACCACTATGGTTCAAGCTCTCATCACCTCTCATTTGGAATTGGTCTCCTTGCCTCCAGGTTCTTCTCTCCCAATCCATCTTCCATGTAGCTGCCATTATGATCTTCTAAGGACATAGTTCTGACCGCATCACTATCCTGCTCAAAAACTTTGTGATTCCCTATTTCCACTAGGGTAAAATAAAAATTCCTCAGACTGGACTTTATACCCTATACAGCCTGACTCCAGTATACCTTTTTAGACTTATTTGACACTGCTCTTTTTCATGCACTGTGGTATCCAGCACTACTAGACTGTTTTGTAACCTTAGATGATTCATCTCCTGCCTCCATGCCTTTTTGCACAAGCCATCCTCCTGTGCCTAGAATAAATTCTTTATTCACCTTTTCATGTGACATGTCTGTCAATCTGTTTTGTCTTTCAATACTCAGTTTAGTTTCAATAAACTAAGTTTCAGTACTTGGTGTACCATCTCCTCCGTGAAGACTTCCTTTATCTCTACTAGTTGCTAGTCTTCCTTGTCTCAAATTACCTTATATACTTAGTCTGTGTGGATGAGTAGGCTATACCATATTATCAGCAAAGCATTGTTCAGGAGAAGCAGGATGTCATGAGAAAATTGTTTGAACAGAAAAGATGTTTGGTCATTTAGTAAGAAGGGGAGAGAGAGATCGTAAAGTATCTTCCCTTACAGAGCCAAGGTGCTCCATAAGCAACCAGGAAATATGAAGAAATATAAAGGAAGGTCTCTAATCCATTAGATCACTCCTCCCACCCCAAACCCAGCCAGGTCAGACTTATTGGAGAACATGTATGAGTCACATAGGATAAAGTTGTAATCTTCACCATTTGCAGAAGTATCCATATTGACGAGCTTGACTATAGATCTCTCCCTTCCCTTAATCCTTCTCTCCTTCCATTAGAATGTCAGCGTCTTGAGGTCAGATACTATCTGGCTTTAGTCTTCGTAAACTTAGTACCTAACAGATTATCTTGTATATAGTACACAATTGAGAAATGTTGCATTAAGCTTCTGAGGTATAATTAAACATTTGATTTGAATGCTTTTTGGCTTTTATAAGCCTTGTATGTGGTAAATGTCTAGAGCATACGACTTCTACTTTATTGTCGAAAGTTTTAAAGTCTTCTAAAGAGTTTACACAAGCAAAGAAAACAATTCCCTGTGGGAACTAGTCCCTATCTCAACAGTTTTTTCCTTCTTCCAGAGGTCAGGTTAGCAAAATAGTCAGATTTCAGGATATCCAGGTTTAGTTTCTGTATTCAAATGCTGACTCACGTATACTTGGTCACGAGCAAGGTGCAAGTTTCCTCATCTGTCAAATGGAGATAAAAACTCATACATTTAGAATTGGAAGGGACCTCACAGGCCATTTAATCCGACCCCCTCATTTTATAGGTGAGGAAATTTAGACAAAGAGAAATTGAAACTCACACAAATAGTATGTATTAAAGGTGGGTCCTGAACCTTGGTCTTATGACTCCAGAGCCAAGGCTCCTGGCATTATGTTGCCCTGTCTGCCCACCTCACAGACTTGTGAGAAGTGTACTTGATAAACCTCATTAAAAAGCCATAATCTGAATTATTATTTTCATTCTATGTATCTGCAGGAATATTTCTTGATCACTTTTACAGATAAGATTTATAATATATTTGTAAGGAGGTGATGAGTGTCAACCACATGTACAACTGCAATAATGAAGATGAGTGAATTTGAGAGAATGTCTCATGAATGGTTAGAGCTTTAGGTCATGCTGTGTATCGCAAGTTAAGGTAGTTAACTCTAGTTGGCCTAGCTTCGTGAATATCAGTTTCTGTATTCTGTATAATAACAACAATGATTTTATCTAAAAAGGCAGTTTACCATGTACGGCAGAACGTTACAAATGCAAATGGCTTTTACTGGCAAAGACAGATTTCAGTTGCCACGGAATGAATTCTATCATGATTTAAGCAAACTACACATGCAATTTCTCAATTGAACTGAGAACTAGTTGAAATAATTTAGAGACAGAAAACAGCAAGCTCTTAAGTAGAGTTCATTTTAGAAAGCTAAAACTACACAGCCAGAGTAATAAACTTATTAAGCAAACGTACAGCATAGTACATTAGTTCTACTCCCGCCACTCTAATCCAGTGGAACTGGTTTTTCTGTTCTTCACACAGGACTCTCTATCTCTCATCTCCATGACTTTGCACTGGTCATCCCCTATATCTGAAATGTATTCTCTTTTCACCTCCACAGAATTTCTCTCTTCCTTCAAGACACAGCTCAAGTACCACGTTCTACATAAAACCTTTCATGATCCTCCCCTCAACTAGTAACCTCTTTCCCAAATTACTTTGTATTTAATTGCTATGTATTTATGTTTATCCTATTTATAATTCTATATGACTTTATTGTCTCCACTATTAGGGTAGAAATTGTTTTGTTCTTTGTATTTTTATATCCAGGGCCTACTAGGCGCTCAATCATCTCAGTCAATCACTATTGATTGATTGATTGAAAGAAAAGGAAGTGATGGGGGTGGGTGGGTAGGTGGGACTACCCTGTTTCTCTTTTTCCCTTTGCCAGTTGAATGGTCATGTTCAGTCAGAGCATCTCAGCTTCCCAGCATCCAGAAAGTTCTAACAGCTCCCTATTACATCCTTTCCACAGAATGTTGCAGTCCTGGCCCATCGGAGTAGCACTTCACAAGCGACTCAGTTAGGAGCAGAAAACCAGGTGAAGGCCCTAGCCGAAGAAAATGAGAAACTACGGGAAAAAATCAAAGAACTGGAACTGAGCATGACACAACTTCAGACACGGGTTGACGAGATGAAATTAGGTGAAGTCAAAATGAAGGAAAAACTAAAGAAATGTGAGGTAAGAATCATTGGGGCAAGCTGCAGTGTAGTGACATCTGTTCTTTATTCTCTTTCCCTTGTGTGTGTGGAGGGAGGGCAATGTTTTGAGGTGGGAAGGGATTTCGAATCATAATTTACCGGGGGAAAGCAATGTTAGAGTCCTTTGTGCAACTGGAATCATCTTTAGTCCTGGGTGAAGCTTGTGCAAATGTGAAAGCAGCTCATAAAGAGGCATGGGAACAGTGTTGATATAGGCTCTGTGTGTGTGATATATAGATGCATATTCACAGTAAAATTTCACTTATGAAGAGGTCAGGCTTCAAGCAGCCTCAGCTTCCTGGATCTGAGCCAAGAACCAGAAGTAAAAGAACCCAGAGCATCTGCAATAACTATCATGAAGTCATGTACTACAGCTCATGTGCTTCAGTCTATAGGAATGAACCTTTAGGTTTTCTTCTTACTCTGCTTGAAAGATATGATGCAGAGTAATCTTGGCTATCTCATTTACCAACACCTGCAAGTTTGAAAAAGCAAGTTTTCGTAAGGGATATGCTATTGGGGAAAGGTGTGGAGTGGGCAGGGAAGGAGCCTGGTCCCCTACTAATACTGGCAACCATTAGGGAAGGAGAGAGAAAAGCTAAATAAAGCAGGCATGTCATTGCATGTACCTACAAATGGATATTCCCATTTATAACTCTGAATAGTCAATTAAAGGTTATTGGCTTAAATGAAATTTTGCTTTATGTGCATCCATCTAGGTTGATAAATATAAACAGGAGAGTTACTGTTATTTGTTGGGGGCCATCTTGGGCAGGTTGCAGCTTCCTGTGACAATACTCTTTGTTGTATCTACTGTTTTCTCCTACTCTTGGTGCTTACTTTTTCCCACTGTGGCAGCTTCATTGGCGAAGTTTCACTTGGTCTCATTGTACTGTCTCCTCTTTTTCTTTATCGTAGGGAGAAAAGCAGCAATTAGAAGAAGCCCTTTTACATGCCAAAGACAAAGAAAAGGAAATGCTGTCAGCAAAAAGGGTCCTGGAGAATCAACTAGAGGACATTCAGGTAAAAATTAGGGGATGCTCTTTTTAATCTCTCTTCAATGAAGCCCCAAATAAATGATGTGCAAAGAATGTAAAGAAATTGTTTCATCTTTACTCCTTCTCTTGCTGGTAGGATCTCCGCCATCCTCCAGCTACAGTGTCATGATAGCTTTTAATCATTTCTCTGGCTGTTCTCCTGAAGTGTCATTTAGAAGTCAGATCCTTAGAAACTTGACAGTTTTCAATAGGTGAAATGGGAATTTTGTGGAAAGGTCTATAAAATCATTTCCCCAAATCTGTCATGGTAGTCTTTTAAAACAAATCTCTGGGAAATTGTATTAGACTACAAGCCTACAAAATGAGTTATCATAAGGATTTTAATTGAAACTAGGCAGCTGCTGCCACCCAAAGTCACTAGATTCTTAGTGTGTTAGGATGTTTTCTTGGTAGATCAGAACACATGGTTTGAAGGATATTTTCTAAAGACAGGATTTTGTATAATGACTTCTGTAAAATCTACCTTGTGTTTTATGATACCCTTCTCAACCCAGGCCTGTGATTTTTAAAGAAACAACATTTGAAACAACCCCCTGGCAGGTAATATAGTTTCTCAGCACTGAAAAGTTGATGTTTTGGAGAGTTGTAGAAAGGGAAGAGCTGGTGAAAATTTCCACTTGTGAAAAATATAACTTCAGGCACACGAGAGTGCTAAGTGGTGAGAAACATTCAGAGACCAATTTAAAAGTGACCATTTGTAGCTGCAAAAGATGATGCATGCAGTGATTCTTCTCACACTCTAAGCACCAATTCAGAGAGTCTGGAAATAAGCGCTTTATTTGTTCTTTTTGGCCTGACCATGTGTAGTTCAACAACTGTTTTTTAAATGTCTCTCCTGGGCAAGAAAGATAAAAACTAGGGCAGATTTTGACTGGAAGAGTTTGCATTCTACTGATGGAATGTGACACAAAGCCAGATAAATATAAGAGAATGGAGGGAATGAAGGCAGGAAAGGTGAGATGTCAGACAAAGTCCTCTAGGAATAATTCAGGAGAAAGAGAATACTAACCCCTGGGAAGAATTGACAGTGAGGAGGTAGCCCCTGACCCAAGCCTTGGAGGAATATAAACTCTAAAAGGGGGAGGTGAAGATGGGGAACACATTTCAGGCATGAAGGTAGGAGATGGCCTGTCAGGTTTGGGGAATGACTAAAAATAACCCAGTTTTGTGAAAACAGTTTGAAGGGGAGTGTTGTGAAATAAGTTTGTAAAGGCCGTCCCTAGCCAGATTATGGAGCACCTTAGAGAGAAGAGTGAGGAGTTTGCATTTTGCCCTAGAAGCAAAAGGGCACCATCAGAGAGTAGGAAAAGGACATTAAAAAGTTATTTTGACTATTATAAATACCCAAATTAACTATAAAGGACATATGAAGAAAGATGCTGTCTGAATCCAGAGAAAGAAATGACAAATAGAAATATGTGTAGAATAATTTTACACATATATGTGTATATATATGTGTGTGTACACACACACACACACACACACACACACACACACACACACACACACAAACACACACCCCTATTTGTGTCTAATGGTAGCCATCTCTAGGGCAGGGTTGGGGAGGCAAGGAAAAGAAGAAATTTACATGATAATTTTGTTGCATGTTTGAAAGGAATAGCAAGTTGTACATAGTAGATTTGCAATTTCATGTGCAATCATCTTTTTTATTATACCATATTAAGGAATTGCTCATTTTCTTCCATAAATTAAAAATAAAAGAAATTTAAAATAAAAAAATGTTATCAAGCCCATACTTTAGGAAGATTATTTTGAAATCTGTGTGGAAGTTGACTGGGAGAAGGGAGGCACTAGAAGCAGAAAGGCCAATTAGGAGATAAGTATAATAATCTAGGTGATAGGTAATAAGGGCCTGAACTCAGGTAGTGGCTCTGACTAGAGAGGCACAGATGTATGAAATGTTCTGAAGATAAAATCAGTAGAGCTTGGTAATTGATTGGATATTGGGAGTTATGGTGTAGAGAAAGTTCGTTGATTCTAGGGTTTGGAAACTTGTACTGATGGTACCCTCAGTAGAAATAGCTTAGAGGAGGAACAATTTTAGGGGAAGATGATAAATTCAGTTTTGAACCTGTTTGTTTTTTCGGTATGGGAAGGACAGTCAGCCAGATAGGACTTTCTAGCCAACAGTTAATTATTAATGTGGAATTGAGAAGAGAGAGAGAGTAAGGCTGCATACATAGATTTGGGAGTCATCCTTGTAGAGCAGAGGTTCTTAACCTAGGGTCCATGGATACCCCTAAGAGGTTGATGGATAAATTTACCTATCCATGAACTTGGATGGGGAAAATATTACATCTTTATTTTAATTGATATCTAAAATGTAGCATTTCCTACAATTATTAAAAAAAGTCTTAGAAGAGGTCCATAGGCTTCCAAAGGCATCCATGATACAAAAGGGAAAAAAAAAGGTAAGACTCTTGTGTAGAGGAATCTTTGGGAACAGATGAAATCGCCAAGGAAAAGAGTATATAGAGAGAATGGAAGAGGGCTTAATTCTGAGCCTTGGAGGATACTCATTTTTAGGGGGCTGGAGATAGATGATGATGCATGAAAGGGGACTGGGAAAGCATAATCAGAGGGGTAGGAGAACTAGGAGAGAGTAGTATCACAGAAGCCAAGGGGGGCGTGGGGAGAGAGAGACAGAGACAGAGACAGAGACAGACTATTTCAGGTGGGGAGGGGACTATTCACAGTGTCCAAACCTGCAGAAAGGTCAAGGAAGATAAGCAATGACAAAAGGCCATTGAATTTAGAATTAAGAGCTCATTGGTAACCTTTTAAGAGAATAGTTAGAAAGTCAGGAGGGTCAGAGGACAAATGACAAAGGTCTGAGAAGTGACTGGGTGGTATTTATTCTAGGTGGTTAGTAGTGAAAAGGGGGAGAGCTGAAGGAGAATAGCTTGAGGGAAAGACGGGATTAATTGAAGGCTTTCAAGGATAGGGGAGACCTGAGCATATTAGAGCAGCTCAGAGAAAAGCCAGTAGATAGTAAGAGGCCAAGGCTGAAAGAGAGACAGAGAGAAGCAATGATAAATGGAGCAAACTCCTCTTGGGAAAGATGAGTAAAGACATAAGAACTTTAGCCTTGAAAGATGGGTCACCTCATCCTTTGAGTCTGGAGCATAGGATAGGAGAGATGGAAGGGACAGAGAAGTTTTGAGTTGTTGAATAGGGGACATCACATGCTTGGGTAGATGAGGGAGGGTGTGTGGGGTAGATGGCCTCAGTTTTCTTAGCAAAGTTGGGGGCAAGGTCATTGATAAAACGGATCTTGATTCTGAAGTTGCATCTGGCCTCCCTGGCTTTTCTTTGCTTTATTTTTTGTATCAAACTTTGCCATGAACCTTTATCAGTTTGTGATGTTTAATTAGTACTCTCATGATCTAATTATTTTATCATAGCCAATAACTTTTCCTGACAGGTCTTCCTTTGTCAGACAAAAATGATGTGGCATTTTCAGAACTGTTGGTTTTTGTTTGTTGTAGGGTGGCTGTAAGAGTCAATGATGCAATTGCTTTATTTAAAAATTTTATCATTGTCTTTTTTTAAACATCACCTTCATTTCCAAATATGTATATCCCCCTTCTCCCCAAGACAGAGAATCATCCCTTCAATAAAACAATAGGAAAAATGAAACCCTGCAGTTCAACAAAACACATCAGCTGAGTCTGACATGGTATGCAGTATTCTAAACCCAGAGTCCTCTGCAAAGATGGTGCATTTTCTCATTTCTGCTTCAGGGCTGGATTTGGTCATTATAATTACACAGCACTGAATTTTTTCCTCCAGTAGTTAAATTTCAACAGCCATTTGTTGAACGCCTACCATGCACAAAGCATTGTGCTAAGTGCTGGTGTTTCAAGATGAAATAAGTTATAGCTGATGCCCATATGGAGCTTAGACCTAATAGGGAAGATTAGACATATATGCAAATAATTAGAGGCTCAAATAATGTACTTTGAAACATTGGCAGATGAGAGAAGAGAGCTTTCCTTGAACAGAAAAGGGAAGAAAGGAAGATAGAGTTGGGCATTGCAGATGAATTTTAGTTTGTGAGCAATTTGGGAACAGAAAAGGAGAAAACACTGAATCCTGGGCCCAGCTTTTACACATGTCTGAGAACATCTGTGTCTTTGTCCTGTCATATCAGGAGGTTTCACACATACTGAAGGATTTCACCAGATGTAAATCTACAGTCAACAGCTAATTCTCTGTACGGGACAAATAGTGGCTGAAAGCCTAGAGATGTTAATGCCCTTTTTTTTTTCCTCTGGAATTCCTATTCGTGCTTTAGAAATTATCTTTGACGTGCCACTTTTCTCAGAGTCTGTTTTCCCAGCTGTGGAAAAGGCTAGTCTCTCAGACAGGCAGTGTGGAATAATGGGAAGAGTCTTCATCTTGTAGTTAGTTCATTCAGGCTCTGGCTCAAGCCCTTTCTATACGTGTCATCTTAAGCAAGTCCTCAGCAAAAGCAGGCTGATGATACCTGCCTTGGCTAACTGAACAAGGTTTTTGGAACAATGATGTTAGCTCTCATTTCCATAGCTGCTTACAAAACGTGTTCCTTGTAACATTCCCATGGAAGAGGTGGTTCATTTCAGGATAAAATAATCTCATGTATGTGAAAGCTTTCTGTGAACTACACTATACAATTTGAAAATATTAATACAGGGTATCACAAAAGTCCTTGTGCCCTTTCAAGCTATTAAAGGTATTGGAGCTTGAAATGGCACGAAGACTTTTGGGACACCCTGTGTTATGCACTGGAAACACTGGCATCAGTGTTTGCTATTCACTATCCAGCTGGAAATTTTAGCCATTTAGGTTTGTAGTTCTCATTGTCTTACCTCCATTTTTTGTACTCTGAAAATAATTCCATAATAATCACACTGTCTAGACAGACCATGTTTATTAGACTCTGAGATGCCATTTGTTTTCCATCTAGAAAACTGGCACAAATGGTCTTAGTAATTTTCTTTTTGTGTTTTAAAGATTACTGCCTATAAGAGAGTTAAGCTCTCTAGAAGACCAGGGAGAGATTCATTGGCATGTTTTTAAGTCTGCCTTAAAGTTTTTAAATTTCAAAATCTTGAGTAATTAATATTCTATTACATCTAATTTCAATACCTAAAAAATCCTGGGTACTCTCTGTGGGTACTCCCTCTCTCTATTGATACAGATTGAGACCTCTCCATGCCATTAGTGTGGTATCTGCCACATTTGTTTTTCTTGTTCAGTCGGTCATGTTCTACTCTTTGTGACCTCATTTGGGGTTTTCTTGGCAAAGATACTGCAGTGGTATGCTATTTCCTTCTCCAGCTTATTTTATAAATAAGGAAACGGAGGCAAACAGGGTTAAGTGACTTGCCCAGGGTCACACAACTAGTAAGTGTCTGAGGCCAGATTTGAACTCAGGAAGATGAGGCTGCCTGACTCCAGGTCCAGCACTCCTAGCTGCCCCCATCTGATATATAGTCAGTGCTTAGTAATCACTTGCTTATTTGACTGATTATTGGTGGTATTTATGACTTTACTGAGACTGGGGGAAAAGCTCACCTTTTGGCCCTTCTGCTGTTGAACTTAAGTAGGTAAATCAAATGGGTCTCTACTCAAAACCTTTGCAGCTTGGTGTAGGCCTCTCTAGACCTTTCAGTCTCATAGACTAGTCTTTTCCACAGCTGGGAAAACAGCGTTGCCACAATGTAGGGCTGTTGATCTTATAGTCTGATTAAGTACTTTTTAATGCTGGCTTCTTAACAACCTGTTTGTTTTATACCTACTTGCTTATTGTACCTGTTTTAAAATGATGGCTTACGTAGACTGAGAGAGTTTTGAGGACAGTGTTTGTCCTGAGGACCACTTTAAATGAATAAAGTTGATGGCATTTTGACCATACCACCCTCCCTAAATTTGCACCTAGCTACAGGTGCAAATAAAGGTGTACTTTGTCCCAGAGGAACTTAGGGTACATTCCCTTAGCAGCAACTCGTAAAATCTCCATCAAAACAGTTTCTCAAAGGGTGTGACATGGGGTTGATAATCTCTTAAGACACATTAAATGAATACTTAGTGAACACTTGTCCTGTGTTGTTTCTTACTAGCTGTTATGAGACATATATGGGACAGCCAGGAGGCGCAGTAGATAAAGTGCTGGGCCTGAACTCATCTTCCTGAGTTAAAAAATGGCTTCAGATGCTATGTGACCTTGGGCAAGTCACTTACCTCTGTTTGCCTCAGTTTCTTCATCTGTAAAATGAGCTAGAGAAGGAATGGCAAACCGCTCCAGTATCTTTTCCAAGAAAACTCAAAATGGAGTCAATTGAGAGTTGGACATGACTGAAACGAATGAACAACAATGAGAGATAAACACATGGAAAATATATTCCACACACCCTCACACTCTAGTTGGGGATAAGGGTGAGGACAAAAAAATACCGAGAAACAAAAAGTCTAAAATTAATGAGACTATCATAAACTACTATATAGCAAGTACTTGTCCTCTTTCTTCCATTGCTGTTGCTTTTTTGGGAGTTCTAGAGATTTCCAGAGAAAAGGCATTCTAGCCAATATCTAGATATTGAAAGCCAGAGGCCTGTATTTAGCATGCATTAACTTACTGAGGTGGAGACATCTGGCTTAACTTGAGATACCTAGGGACTTGTGGCATGTGGCAAGCGAAGATGGAAAGATACTTTTGACTAGGTACAACTCAATCTGTAGAGGGATATTATATATCCATGTTTCTGGGCATCAGAGAGAAGTCCTGGGCTTTAGTGGTGGTGGTTTTGCAGACCCTAGAAAGGCAGAAAGTGGATTAATGATCCAAAGAAAGGCATTCCTTCAGCACAGAGTACATGCTAAGTAAAGGGCAGCGAGGTGGCACAGTGGAAGGAATACCGGACCTGGAGTCAGAAGACTCATCTTCCTGAGTTCAAATCTGGCCTCAATCCTTAACCCTGTGTCCTCAGTTTCTTCATTTGTCAAATGAGTGGGAGAAATGGCAAACCACTCCAGTATCTTTGCCAAGAAAATCCCAACTAGAGTCACTAACAGTCGGACGTGACTGAAAACGACGAAGCAACAAAAAGTGCTAAATAAGTGCTTGTTGATTGATCCAGCTACCTCATAGTTAATGATTGAGGTACAAGTTCTCGGTTGTTTTCTCACATTTAGGACAATTCCAGGGGAAATACCAGAACCCTTTATGTAACTTTCTCCTAAAATATTAAATAATAATAGCCATCCGTGATAGGAACCATTTATTCAAAAGCTGAAGGACTGATTGCCTTAGATTTTTTTGCTCCCTCTTTTTTGTGTTTATTTGCCTTGAATTGCAGCTGTAAAAGCTTTATCAGCCAGTCTTTTGACTCTTTATGAAAGGAAATGTAAATTAACCAAGAGAGGCCTATCTATGTACCAGGAGACTGGTGTTGTGATGTTTCTGTTCCCCAGTGACTTGTAGGATAAAGTTGTTGAGATTCCCTTCCCCTCCCATTTGTATGGGATGCTCCATTTATTTCTACTCATCTAACAGAATAGGAGAGTCACAGTGGAGTTATCCTCCTAAAAGTATGTTGGTCATGTGTTCAAGATGGCCAGGGTGTTGAGTAGGATTTGAATACTCTGTCCTATACAATATCAATAGATATAATACAAAATCAGTGCCCCAAAACACTTAACATTTTTTTAATGAATGGGGGGGTGTATATTGCAATGGGGGGAACTGCTTATTTTTGCCATCTCCTTTAAAATTCCTCTCCAGGTGCTTTCTTTTCTGCTGGCTGGAACTAGCATCATGACCTAGTAGAATAAAGTAAGATGCTAGCTTACATTGCCTTTTCGAAAGACTACTGTCTCTAGAACTTTGTACAGTACTAGGTTTAAGGAAAACCATAGTAATCGAGGCAGATGGCACAGTACAGTTGTGTCGAACTCAAATAGAAATGGGGGCCGCTAATCATAGATAAAGATCTCTGCAGGCCACATAGTATATGATTTAGTTTAAAAATGTAATATTATCTATGTTTTATTACATTTTTATTTGTTTTGTTAAATATTTCCCAATTGCATTTTAATATAGTTGAAGCTAACCTTGGAAGTGTCTGGGCTGCATGTTTGACATCTCTGACATAGAGGATAGAGAGCCAGACTTGGAGTCGGAAGACCCAAGTTCATATCTTGTCTTAGACACTTATTTGAATATATAGGGTGTCCCAAAAGCCTTAGTGGAGTTCTCTTATTAAAAGCTGAAAACTACACTAAGATTTTTAGGAATACACAGGCACACACACATATACATATGCATATATGCACATATATGTATGTATAGTATGTGTGTTGTATATAAATATATTAGAATATATTATATGTAATTTGTATGCATAGGATAGTTATAAATATATATTGTATAGGCATAGATTAAATATATGTCTATGTTATATAAAAATATAAGGGCAGCTAGTTGGTGAAGTGAATAGAGTGCTGGACCTGGAGTCAGGAGGACTCATTTTCCTGAGTTCAAATCTGGCCTCAAATATTTACTGGTTGTATGACTCTGGGCAAATCACTTAACCCTATTTGCCTCAGTTTCTTCATCTGCAAAATGAACTGGAGAAGGAAATGCCAAACCACTCCATTGTCTTTGCCACGAAAACCCAGAGTTGGACATGACTGAAAAATGACTGAACAACTATAAATATATAAGTATATAAAAATACATACCTTGTGTGTGTGTGTGTGTGTGTGTGTGTGTGTGTGTGTGTGTGTGTAAAATAGCCTTCTTTTGCTTTACAAAGTCCTAGAGTGATATTTCGCTGGAGAGTTAAAGACCTGGCAGGTCCTGTAGACCTTTAAATGCTTTTATTATAGGTCCAGGTAAAAGTGAGTTCCATCCTTACATGAACTGATGTAAAGTGAAATGAGCAGAACCAGGAGAACATTGTACATAGTAACAGCAACATTGTGTGATTATCAACTAAGATTGACTTAGTTCTTCTCAGCAATACAATGATCCCAGACAATTCCAAAAGACTCATGGTGAAAAATACTATCCACATCCAGAGAAAGAACTAATAGAGAATGAATGCCTATCGAAGCATTCTAGTTTCACTTTTTTTCATGTTTTTTTTTTCCCTTTGCAAACTGTAATTGCAAACTGTTTCTTCTTTCACAACATGACTGATATGGAAATAGGTTTTACATGATTACACATATGTAACTTGTATCAAATTGCTTACTGTCTTGGGAGGGGGCGAGGATAGGAAGGAGGGAGAAAATTGGGAACTCAAAATTTTATAACAAATGAATGTTACAAATTGTCTTTACATGTAATTGGAAAAAATAAAATACCATTTAAAAAAAAAGAGCTAGTGCCATGTCTGGATTAGCATAGCTAAGTTAATTATGAGAAGTTTTTCACCAGGTTAGCTTCAGGGTAATGACTTTTTTGAGCTGCCAGAGCCTGTCCACGTAGACCAGGCCTGTTCAACCTGTGGCCCTTGCAGGCCTGACTTAGATGATTGGGTCGTGATATTAGTTGGTGGAAGGAATAACCACACTGCCTGAAATGCTGAAATGAGAATGAGCCTTACTTTGACCTGCTTCTTTTTCATTGATTCAGTTCCTTATGGTATTTGTGGAAAATCCCTGCACCATCTGATTTTCATGGCTGGTGCTGACAAGTTGTTAATAAGGTTGTCTTTTATTCCTCTGCCTATCTCTACCCTGTCCCCTATCACCTATAGAGAAATCTCAGCCGGGCCACACAGGAGCAGCAAAATCTCTCTGAGAAGTTACAAGATGAGACAGATCAGAAGGAACAGTTGAGAAGGTTGAAGAATGAAATGGAGAACGAGCGATGGCAACTGGACAAGACCATTGAGAAACTTCACAAGGAGGTAAGGAGTCCTGCAGGGCAGGAAGCATTATGGAGGCCAGTGATTTCTGCATAGCAAAAACCCACCTTGGCTCCTCTCTGTGCTAACTTGGCAGGGGGTTTTCAAGTCAAGCCAAGTTAGCAAATATTTATTAAGCACCTACTATGTGCCAGGCAGCATACTAAGCTCTGGGATACAAAAATGGCAAAAGCAGTCCCTGTCCTCAAGGGGCTTCCATTCTAACGGGGAAGACAACATGCAAACAACTATGTAGAACAAGTTACATAACAGGATAACTTGGAGTTATTCTCAGAGAAATTATTAGCTTAAAAGATAAAATTAACTGATGGGAAATAAGTACATTGTCACCTTTGTCTGCTACAGACACTTTCCCTATTGCCTTCTCATCCCTTCATCTCCCTCAGTTTCCCACTCCATAAAATACAGGTTTTTGGGATAAGTGAACTCTGAGATTCTTTCTTCGAGAGACTAGCATTTTATTTTTTGAGCTAACAGCTCCTGCTTGTTTTAAGAACGCCCTTGTAGCATGGGTTCTGAACACACGGGTAAAGCTTCAACCCTAAATAGGTCATTTTTTACTGAGATGAAGTGTATTCATCATCGGAGCTATACAAAATGAACCAAGCAGATGTCCTTTGGTGGATTACATCAAAAGCATTTTTTCTTCAAAGAAGGTGACCTTCAACCTATACATTAACCTCTGCCCCAGGCACTATACAAAGTCTTCAGGAAAAAAAAACTGACCACTTTGGGAGGGGCAAGGTAAATTTGGCAGTATATCACATCAGAGGATTTGGAATTGGAAGGGACCTTCAAGAGGATCTAGTCTAAATTCTTATTTTATAGATAAAAAAAAATCAGCCCAGAGAGGGCACCTGATTTGCCCAAGGACACACAGATGGTAGTGACTAAGCTGGGTTTCAAACCCCCAGGTCTTTTTATGCCAAATCTAGTTTTTTTTCACGGTATCACATGGACTCCTTAGGATGACATTCCTTAAGTAGAACAGGAGCAAAAGGTTAGATTTCTAGCTGTCTGAAATGGGCTTTCTATATATCTTCCCATTGGGACTCAAACTTTCTCTGGGACCGTGATCTCTGACAAATAAGTTTACCTAATCTTACATGAGACCAGGCCACTGTGCCTCTTACTAACCATTTTTAAATGATGCCCTATCCCATTTCCCACCCACCTCACTTCCAACTCTATCTTCTCTTTACATCTTATCTTCCCCTATTAGAACCTAAGCCCTTTGAGGACAGGACTACCATGCTTGTTTATTTCTATATTCCTAGTATGTAATAAGTGCTTAACAAATGCAACTCTTCATTTATTCATGTGTATGTTTTTCTGTAGATGGCTGACATTGTGGAGGTTTCACGGACATCGACTCTGGAACTTCAGAACCAGCTGGATGAATACAAGGAGAAAAATCGCCGAGAGCTTGCCGAAATGCAGAGGCAATTAAAGGAGAAAACCATGGAGGCAGAAAAATCCCGCCTGACAGCCATAAAAATGCAAGATGAGGTAATGGCTAGTTGGTTCCCTTGGTTAACTTCTGAATCAGAAGTACTCTTCTGATGTCTCAAAATGATGGATCTTTGATGTACTGCTTTGGGGTAGGCTCTGCAGATTCTTCTTGGATCTGGGTGCTTAGATAAGACAAAAAAAGTTTTAGGATTCAGAGATGAAATATTTTGTCGTGATTAGAGGTAAAAAATAATGGATGATTTGGTTTTATCTAATACGCATTTGTTAGGCACCTACTAAATGTCTGGTGCTGTGCTAGGGACTGTGGTACAAAGAGAAAACAAAACAATGCCAAGGATAGAGTGTGGGACTTGGAATCAGGAAAATTTGGGTTTTAATCCAGCCTCAGATATTTACCTCTTGTGTTATTCTGTGCAAGTCCCTTCTCTTAGCTTCAGTTTCCTCATGCATAAAATGGAGCTAATTATACCTTTAACATCATAGAATTAGAGGCAGCTAGATAATGCTGTGAATAGAGCAGTGGGCCTGCAGTCAGGAAGACCTGAATTCAAGTCCAGCTTCAGAACTTCCTAGCTGTGTGTGACCTTGGGCAAGTCACTTAACCCTGTTTGCTCAGTTTCCTCTTCTATAAAATGGGGACAATAACAGCACTTACATTGCAGGGTTGTTGTGAAGATCGAATGAGATAATAATGGTAAATGCTTAGCATAGTGCCTGGCACAAAATGGGTGCTAGATGTTAGCCATCATCATTATCATCATCATCATCATCATCATGTTAATTAGGAAGATCTAATGAGATAATGTTTATAGGTGCTTTGTCAGCCCTAAAATGATATTTGAGTATCAGTTATTAACACAAGTATATATTTCAGAGCTTCAAGTATACAGTCTGATATAGATTGGCAATAGATATAATTCTACTTAAGAAGCTAGCTGTGGGCCAACTTTGAGTTTGTGGTGCAGCTTTTGAATTGCTTTTCTACCTTTTGGTCCTTTAAAACACAAGATTTTATTTGATAAAAAGGGCAGGGGCGGTTACTCAGATCACTGCAGTAATCTGGTAGTAAATACTGAAATGCTCACCGGAATCAGGAATGCTAGTTATCACACACACACAGACACACAGACACACACAGACACACACAGACACCCCCCCCCCCAATATATCACTTTTCAGGGAAAACAAAGTTAAGCACAATAGGACACACCTGAAGCAAACAAATTAGCTTCATGTGGCCACATGGCTTAGTGTCCCCCAGGTATCCTACAGCTATAAGAATCTAAAAGTTCTTGAAAGTCTCTAGTGGGAGGCACATTGATTTGGCTGCAGGATTCCCTTCTAGCTATAGAAAATCTTAAAAAGTAGAATTTAGGAGTGAGAGAAACTCTAGAGGTCATCTGTAATCCACTGGTGCTAAACCTTTTTGGAGTATTTTTTTTAAATTCCCTTTTTCACATCAAAATATTTCTTGGGCTCCCACACCATGGCAATTGCAGTTTTTGTATCCATTCATTGGGGGGTAAAACCATAATAAAGAAAAGCCATTCTGAAAAAGGTCATATTTCATTCTGAAGGCCAGAAAACACTTTCCCCCCCCTACTTCTATTAGGCACAAATGAAGCATTGATAATATAAAACCACTGATACAAAACCCCTCATGCACCCTTTTGTTGGAACTAAATAAAACCCAAATACTTGGTGAGCATATGGTTTATAGAACCCTTGCAATAACTTCATGGCCCCCGAGAGTCTGGGGCCCACAGTTTGAGAGCCACTGATCTGGTCCACTGCTCTCATTTTACAGATCAAGGATCTGAGGCCAAACAAGGTGAAGTGACTTGTACAGAGTTACACAGCTAGTGAGTGGCTGGTGCTTTCTACCATGCCAGGATGATTCTGTGGGACCTCTTCTTAAGCTCCTCCAAGTGCTCTTCAGGTTCTCAAGTTTATTATTAAGAGCACAAGCTCCTTCTGTCTTCTCTCCCTCCCTCCTTCCTTCCTTCATTCCTTCTTTCCTTCCTCCCTTTCTTTGTCTCTCCCCTCCCTCCTTCCTTCCCTATGTCTCTCTGTCTCTATCTTTGTCTCTCCCCTTCCTCCCCCTCCCTTTCTCTCTTTCTCTCCATCTCCCTTTCCCTCTCTGTCTCTCTCCCCTTGTCTCTTTCTGTCTCTGTCTGTCCCTGTCCCCTACCCCCCCACCTCAAAAAGTGCACAAGAAAAAAAACTTTAGTTCAAAAAATAAATTGGAACTGTTGGCCAGCCCCGTGAGTAAATGGTAAAGAAGCTGAAAAAAGTTTAGGCCTTTAAAAAATAATCTTATGAGGAGCTCATTAGATCTTGAAGCTTGATAACAGGATCCCTAATCACTCAAATTCACATAAAGCTGTGATGAGGCTTGAAGTTGAGACTGATAGGTAGGTATTAACGTTTTCTCTAGCATTTTTGAAAATTTTTTATTTTTGAAGTTCTGTAGCATTGTGGCGTCAGAAACACCTGCCTTTCAATCTGGCCTCTGACCTCTTCACCTACCAGCTGTGTGACCCTAGGCAAGTCATTCAGTCTTGGAGCCTCAGGCCGATATCCAAGACTAAATTAATGAGTAGGTTGTGATTTGTGTTGGTAGAGTCATTCTTAACAACAATGAAATAACATGACCTTGGTATGTTTTGTTTTCATCTCCACAGAAAAGGGGGAAATTATACTCAGGTGTTTCATCTGGGCACCTATAATCTACCCACTTCTTATGTTGTTTTTTAAAAAAATTAATTTTTTAACCAACAATTATCAAGCATTCTTCTTTTTTCTCCCTTGCAGCTCTCCCCATCCACTGAAAAAAAGATAGAAATAAAGACAGAACCTCTGTATCACAAGCACAGTCAAGCAAAAGAAATTCTCATGTCGGTAGCATCCAAAAATATTTCTTATTTTGCATATTCGTCCATCACCTCTCTGTTATGAAGTGGGAGGCATAATTTTTTTCTTTGGTCTTCTGGAATCAGAATTGATCATTGTTAATTAGAGTTCTTAAGACTATCAGAATTGTTTATTTTTATGATATTGATGTTAAAGTATAAATTATTCTTCTGGTTTCAAGGAAAAAAAACCACAAACAAAACACAATAGGGCAGCTTCTGTCAATACCATGAATTCAACGTTCCAGACCACGACAGTGCTTCACAGTGCCTGTTTTTGGTGCCAAAAGGGCACTAGTAATGTTTATCAAAGTGCTGAGCACTAACAGAAGGGAGCAAACATCGCAAGAGCCTGCTGTAGATTTAATACTAGATGTTGGGAACATGGTAACCTGCAGGACAGGAACTTTTCAAATATCACCTTCGATCCAAGTGCCAAGCTGCAGTTACAGGGCTGTTTGAAATTAAATCAATAAATAAACAAGGACCTTAAAAAAAACAAACCCACAGACATGATGGATCTTAGAAAAACTTGGTGTGTTCCCTTTGTTAATTGCCTTTTTCTTTACAAAGGCCTGGAAATTGTATTTTATTTCCTATGTTGAGAATCAATTAAACATCTGAGGAAGGAGGAGGATCTGTGACTATGCTTAAAGAAGAAATTATCCTAGGATTAATGCCCTGGTCCTTTTTTTTTTCTTCCCCTTACTATGTATAGTTTGGCAAAGGGAAATGCCCAGGTAGGGTGAGACTAGATCTGTTGTATATCCTCATGAACAATGCACACATTCAAATTAAAATTATCTCTCACTTTATTTTGATCAAAGATGAGTTGTTGAAAACTTACTTTTCTTTCTTATCAGTTAATTCCCACGTGTTTATCAAGTAACTACCATATTAAAAGTACCTCTAGAGTCTGTAGGGGAGATAAATAAGTAATATAAAGCTGTGTCTGATGAAATAGGAAAAAACCCTTTCTCATAGAGATTTAGATTTTTTCCAAGTTATTATATTTCTTGACTAATAATTCTAGTAGGAAACTTATTTTTTCAATGAACAAAAACTATTTTCTCTGCCTTTATACCTCTTCCCTTTGGGGGAAAAAAGAAACAAAGAGTAAACTTCTTAGGACCATCATATGTGGCATATGAGAACATACAATGAGTTTTCCTCATCTTTAGCGTGAATTCTGCATGCCTTTAATCTTTTTCTTTTATGCTATGTGTAATGTTTGAAAACATGCCCTTTTTGGATGGGTTTAGGTCAAGGCTGCTAGGGTCAGCCTGTGAGACAGGGTGTGTTTTTGGGAAGGGGGGTTCTCTAGAGGAATACCCTACTCTACTTCTAGACCTAGTCCATTTCTTTTCACTGGGAAGTGGCCCCAGGTTGGAAGACTTATTCATGGATGCCTCTTCTAAACTGCTGGTTCAGTGCCATCTTGTGGGCAAAAAAAATATTGTAAGTGATTGACCGTGGCATTGGACAACATGGCATTTTCTTGAAGGAAGCTGGAGTGACATTAACTTTGTTTTTTATTTCATTTGCATTTCTATCTATTCTGGCTCTGTGTGTTGCTTCAGGGTAATATTTTTCTTAGATTATTATTTCTTAGCATTTTATAGAAAGATCATAATAAGCTTATAGATCTTGAACTGGAAGAAATTCCAGACATTAGCTAGTTCAACCTCCATGTTGTAGATAAGGAAACTGAAACCTGGGGGAATTTAAGTGACTTGCCCGATATTGCACAGTAAGCATCAGGATTTGAACGCAGGTCCTCTGACTTCAGAAAAAATGTTGTCTTTTCCCCTGGACCATCCTGGGATTTTAAATTGGAAGGGACCTTAGAAGTCATTATATCTTCATTATTTTATAAATGAGGAAAATTAACCTAGAGAGATGAAGTAATGATTGGCTCTGAGGTATGAAGTAGAAAAGGAGAGAAGTACACACTTAATGTGTATGTTTGGGGGAGGAGAGGTTTGAGGGTCTGGAAGGAGGTGACTACATAAATTAAAGATGGTCCAGGCTTGATCCATCCCCCAGAGATGGTACTACTTAGAGTTAACCCTGGTGTAAAGTGTCTTCAGCATGCTTGCATTTCCATTTCTTAGGTTCTTCTCCTTATTCTTTATTTCTAGGGGCCTAATGCTGTCCCTTGGCTGTCTGAGAACCCTACTGCCTTCCCATCCTTCAGGCATTTCTTTCCCCTTCCCTGTTCCAAAATTAATGGCTTTTTCCTCACATTAAAAAAAAAATTAATCTGATACAAAAATCCCCATTCCATTGTTAAATATTGATATTGGTCTAATCAGGTACCTCTCTAGAGGAATTCGAATATGTAAAGCCTTAACCCAGAGTCACCAGTCAGTCAACAAACATTTATTAAGCAATTATTATATGCCACGCACTGTGCTCAGCACTGGAAGTGCAAAGAAAGGCAAAAAGTACTGTTCCTGCTTTTAAGGAACTCATATTATAATGAAGGAGACAACATGCAAATCACATACAAGATACGTAATATAGGAAAAGGTAGTTTGGAAGGGAAAGCAGCTGGGAGAATTGGGAAAGGCCTTCAAAGGAAAGAATAGATAATGGTGATGTTTCAGATATTCTTTGGACCAGTGGGACATAACATGTGAGGCAAGGGGGACTTTGTGGTGTCATGGAAATCATCTCACATCACAACCCTTCCTAGCAGTGTGACCACACTAACCCTCACTTTCCTCTTTTATAAAATACTTGTATAATTACTTCCTAGGTCTGTTGTCAGGCATGTGTTTTGTAACCTTAAAGTAATGTGGCATAGACATCTATCTATCTATCTATCTATCTATCTATCTATCTATCTATCTATCTATCTATCTATCTTTAGTGTTTCTATAATTTCATCATTGTAGGGAGCTCCCAGTGAGGATTTCTCTCTGCTAATATTGATGCAGATTTATACCTTCTTTGCAGTTTATAATATGAGTTGCCCAGGGTCACACAGCCAGTATGTGTTAGAGTTAGAACTTGAAAAGCAGGTCTCCTTAATTCCAAGGCTGGTTCTATCCATTATGCCATACTGCCAACATCATCATCGATAATAATATAGTAGTGGTAGTAGTTGTGATAGTAGTGGTAGTAGTGGTTGTGATGGTAGTAGTAGTAGTAAGGAGTGAGGACAGAGGTGGTGGTGGTAATAGTAGCAGTGGAAGTAGTAGTAGTTGTGATGATGGTGATAGTAGTAGTGGTGGTGGTAGTAGTAGTAGGGAGAGACTAAGGGTAGGGATGATGGTGGTGGTAGTACTAGTAGTAGTAGTAGTCATAGTAAATACAGCTATGTATTTTTGTTCCTAACCTAGGGCTGGGTAACATGTTCCTAGACACACTGATAGGTCGAGGGAAAGAATAATGAAGTGAAATATTTTTTTTCTCATACCTTTTCAGTTTTTTCCTAAGTTAATTGAGCAGCAAGTGAATCTATTCTCTACCTTTTCTTGTCCGCATGCAATTGAGGACATGGACCAAGATGGATGGAGGGTGAGGGTCAGGGGAGGATGATACAGACTAACAAAGACCATATCTCATTTCCTTAGGTATTTTAGATATTTTTTGCGAAAGCTAATGCACAGCTTGCTTTGTTAGCCTCTCTCACCCATTTTTGGAATATATTGGGGGAATCTCAATAAAAAGGTTGAGTTGTGTTGATGGCAGATTTCAAGGATGATATTCGATTAAGAAACATACTTAGCACCCACTATATAGTAAGCACTCTGCTAACTAGATGCTGGAGGAGATACAGAGGTCTAGAAAACATATTGTCTCTGTTTCATGGAGTTTATAGTGTAGTTCAGGTGTTCTTCACCTGGGGTCTGTGAACTTAAAAAACAACATTATGGCAACTGTGTTTCAGTATAATTGGTTTCCTTTGTAATCCTATGTATTTTATTGTATGCATTTAAAATCATTATTCTGGAAAGGATACACCTTCATAGGCTTCACCAGACCAAGAAATAGGTCCGTGCCTCTCCCAAAAAGGTTAAGAACCCTTGGTCTAGACATACATAATCATGATACAGTAGGGGAGCAGTGTAATTGAGTGGAAAGAGCATTGGATTTGGAGCATCTGGCTCTTATTACTTACGACCTGCATTATGTTGGGCAAGTCACTTAAGCCTCTCTGAGGGTCTTTCCTCATCTTGCAGAAAGGAGGTTGGACAATTGTTGGCTAAGGTATCTTCTAGCTCTCAATCCTGTGCAAACAATCAAAGAGATATAATCAAAGTGCAGCATGAACTTCAAAGTATTGGTGGGATTTATCTCTCCCTCTCAATGACAGGATAATTATTCCATCAAAAGAGATTCACATATCAAAAGCTCTATTCATATACTGGTTTTTAATTTAGGTTTTCCATTTTATTATAGGCTTAAACATCAACAAACATAAATGTTGCCACATAGAACAGAAAAATAGATTGTGTGTTAAACTATAACTTCTATTTTATACAGTTTTCTAAGGTATATTAAATTTAGCACGAGAGTAACAAAATGCCCCTCCTTGTCCATATTCCCTTTTGCTCTCCATTGTGTATTCAAGAAATGTTTTATTTATGTTCTTTTTTCTTCTACATATTGTTAATAATGTAATAATTATAACAATTTTCGTAAAGCACTTTACTAATATTATTTCATTTGATCTTCACAACAATCCTGGGATTGTTAGTATCATCCCCATTTTATAGCTGAGGTAGCTGAGGCAGAGAAAAGTTAAGAGACATGCTCCAGGTCACATAGACAGTAACTTGCTGAGGCTGGATTTGAAGTCTGGTCTTTCTGACTCCAGATCTAGTGCTCTATCCACTGTGCTACCACCTGCCCACAGAAGCTCCCTAGGAACTGGACCAAATACAATAACTTGTAACCCCAGGAAAGGGTGACCCAGTGTAGTTTAAACAATGCCTGCCTTTATGACCAGAGCTCAGTCTTTCCATCAGCTTTCCACAAGCCTCTTGTTGGGGGTTCATTGCCAGGATTTTTATCTCATTCACAGGTGACAGGGTAATGACCATCTCTTTCTCCCTGCAGATGCGCCTGATGGAGGAGGAGTTACGAGACTGCCAGAGAGCTCAAGATGAAGCCCTCACAAAAAGAGAACTTCTGGAACAAACGTTGAAAGACCTAGAGTATGAACTGGAGGCCAAGAGTCATCTTAAGGAGGATCGCAGTAGACAAGTCAAGCAAATGGAGGTAGAGTTAATAATAGCTAACAGTTATATAGCACCATGTTCCGGGCACTGTGCTAAGCTCCTTACACTTGTTTTCTTGTTGGATCCTCCCAACAACTCTGAGAGGGAGGTGCTATTGTTATCCCCATTTTACAGATGGTGAAACTGAGGCAAACAGGGGTTAGGTGACTTGCCCAGGGTCATCTAGCTAGTAAGTATCTGAGGCCAGATTTGAACTCAGGTTTTCTTGAATCCACACCCATCTTTCTCTTTACTGTTCCACCTTGGTGTCTTCATGATCAAAGGAAAGTAGATCCTGGAAAAGTTTGAAGATTTTCCCTTTAAGCTTTTAGGCTATAAAATCACTCATTTTCATTTTTCTTGAGTTTCAATTGTCTTGAGAATTTAGTAGTATCATTCCTTTATGTGATTAAGATACTCTGGTGAGAGGGTGATGATTCATAGACCAATAGCACTGGAAGGGACTTAGAAATGCTTTAGTACAGCTCCTTCATTTTAGAGATGAAAAAGCTGAGACCCAGAGAGATTAAACTACTTACCTTACATCACACAGAAAGTTAGTTGCAGAACTCAGATTTAGAAGCCATTTCCAGAGTCCTCAATGTCATTGCATACTTTGGTTTGGGTTCCTATTTCTAACTAACCTTTGCTCATGTGTAATCCAGCTTTGCAGATATATAAAATAAAATAGATGTGGTATAATTTAATTCTACAACTACTTAATGAGCACTGTGATGTACCTAGCACTGTACTAAACACTTTGTGGAATAGGGCTTTCTAAAATAAACATCTAACTTAGATCCTGCCCTCAGGGAGTTTGCCATTTTGTGGGGAAGAGAAGAAATAAACACACGAAAACAAATAACAGTATGAGACAATTGAAAATAAAATCTTAAATTCATTTACTAAATAGGTATAAGTCCTTCAGACAACTAGAAACACTTAACAAATAACCAGAAAAATGTAAATCAAATCAGAAAATCTAAATAAGAATAATGCACTGACAGTTGTATAGGTGTAATCTTGATTCATCACACCCACACGTAAAATAGCACAATACTTAGAACAATGTCGTCCAAAAAAAATAGCATCATCCAATATGACAATTGACACTTTTGAGGAAAAACCTGGATTAAAATATAACTTGGACCACATTAACAGAAATTAAGATGTCAGAATGTTTTTAGGAGGCACATAGATGTTGCTCAAGAACAGGGTGAAAAAGGATGAATTCATAGTCAATATAATTCTTGAATCTATTTTGCAAATAGCTACTTTCCTCCTACCCTCTTCAAAGGCAAAGAAAACACTGATATCTAGTGAATATTAATTCTGATAGTACCAATTTCTCCAGATACGTCTCTCCTAGGGGAAAGGGTAAGCAGGCTAAATATAATTTTTCTTTTCTCTTAAGATAGTTGCAAATTGCTAATAGGGCCCCTAGCATGCTTATTTTCTAGGAATCTGAGAGCTAACTGTAAGATGAACAAATATTAACTCACATAATCAGAAGCTCAGTGCCCTCTGCCCCACATGGCCATCTCATAAGCTAACTCAGAGCATAGGCATAATATCCACTGACCTAGACCAGGAATCACCCAACTGTACTTGCTCAACAATGGACAATGGAAGCCCTGGAAGGACTGCATCCTTAACTCATGTCATCCTAGGAAAATTAAAATAGTATTTTCTTATCTGAATAAAGATGCTTTCACCAATGTTTTTCAGTGTGAGTGGATGTTGGATGGATAACAATATGGATAAATGGAAGCAGTAGTAGAGTTAGAGTTGGTTGGTTGGTTGGTTTTTTAACTTGAGTGAAATTTCAAGGAGGATCTCTTTTTTTCCATTTTAAACTGGAAAAAGAAGAGTTCTTAGGCCCCCCAACCAGTGAGAGAGTACTTTGACAATCAATCGATCTCATAGAGAGAGCTGGCTGACCTGACTTACTCTGACTCTTATTTAGCTTTCTGTTTCCCTTGCACGTCTTCCATAAGGAGCAGGGCCATACAGAAATTACTTTTTAGCCAGCTGGGTAACTGATTATCAGCTAATGAGCATCTTCCATAAATGAGAGGGGGAGGGAACAGTTAATTGAAGTGGGCTATGATTGTATAGATTATATTTTATGAAGATCTCTTAATTACATTGCGAATATTCTCTGTGAAATTCTTAGAGCCTTTGAGTAGGTACATGATTCCTACCCTAAATGAACATAATTGAATACTGGGTGGAGTCTTTTAGTTTCTAAGTATCTATGCTTGGCAAGAGTGCCTCCAGATGGGTGGTAGCTACACTTGTGATAAAAAGCTGGTTTTAGTCAATGGTTTTTTGTAGTCTAGTAATGGCATTCCTTGGCTTTTCATCACTCACGTGCAATTTACCTTCTGTGCATAAAGAGGCATCTCTAGTTTCTCAATCTATTTGGATCATCTTGGGGATAATACTTTGGTATTTTGATGGATCATGATCATACCTTCACTGGTCAGTCATTCTGTCAATAAGCATTTATTAAGTGCTTATTAAGCATATGCCAGGCACTGTGCTAAGCTCTGGATTCAGCCCATCTATGCCATCACATTATGTGCAATCTGTGTTCATTTTTTTTTTTGCACTTACTCCATAGAGAAATCCACTTAATGCAGTGGTGGCCTTCCTTTTTTTTTTTTAAACTATCTTGGGAGTACCAATGGACCATTTGGGATGCCCATTTGTTACTCTTCATTTTCAATATGTGAGTGACCACCTCCTTTCCCCACCATTGATGTTCCTCTGTCATGTTTTTTACCCCCTCTTCTTGCATGCAAATCATTGCCAGTAATGTGCTGTTGCCTGTTTACACTCACCGCGTGCCTTTCTGTTGTTAGTTGGGTTATTTGTAATATTCTTCTGAGATTATGGTGTTTCCAGGGACAATATTTATCCATAAATATTTTAGAACCCAAGTCCAGAACTGCCAATTACTTCCTAGCATCTGTGGCTCCAACTTAATCCAAACATTTAAAATAACAATGAACTGGTGACTAGAGAAAAAAAGTAAATGCAAAAACCTAGCAATTCTGGGTGTAGAAATTTACATAATTTTCCCCTTTCCTTCTCTCTCCCACCCACAAAACTTCTTTGAAGTGAATTTTCCATAACAAATAATGAATTGCAAATAAAACCCAACTCAAAAAACTTGATGTCATAACTTTGTGAACACTACTTTGGCAAAATTTGATTAACTTTGAAATATGATCCAATATTGTCTTGAATTCAATAGAAGGAAAAGATCATTAGTTTCCAAAGGTACTCATAGACTTTGCCTTCTCCAAGGCTCCTAGGAGTAATGGTAAGAATTGGTAGGTGGTACATTTTACATAAAATGAAACATTCAGAGCTTCTTCCTGCCTTTAGAAAACACTTGCTGAATCCAGCATGAGTGTTTTGGGCCTTGCATGGTCCCTTCCATCTCAAATGAGTGGTTCATTGGGAACCAGTGTTTGAGGTAATGCAGAAAATCTTTGTCCCAGCCCACCAGCTCCAGTCTTCTATCCTGTCTCCTCATCCTGACACTCAGATACCATGCCTTCACACCTCTCTTCTTTATCCCTTCACCCACACAAAGAACTGTCCCATTTTCATCTAGTAAAAGCCCAATTTAAATGGGTATATGTGTGTCTGTTCTTTTGTAGGACAAAATTTCTCAGCTGGAGATGGAACTAGATGAAGAAAGGAACAATTCTGATTTGTTGTCTGAGAGGATCACCAGGAGCAGGGAACAGGTACAGCAATGTCTGAAAATGATCAAGTTAACATAAGTGAATCAAAAAGAATGAGATGTATAAATATGAATGGTTGGCTAGAGCACAGGTCCTTAACCTTTTTTTGTATCATAGACCCATTAATTTTTTTAAAATTAATTTATTTTTAGTTTTCAATAATCACTTCCATAGGCTTTTGAGTTTTAAATTTTATCCCCCTCCCTCCCCAAGATGGTGTGCAATCTGATATAGGCTTTACACGTACATTCCTATTAAATATATTTTAACATTAGTCATGTTGTAAAGAAGAATTAGAACCAATAGGAGGAACCACAACAAAGAAGAAACAAAACAAAACAGAAGAAAAAAAAAGAGCCAATAGTATGCTTTGATCTGAATTCACACTCCATAGTTCTTTCTCTGGATGTGGATAGCATTTTCCATCATGAAATTTTTTGGAGATGTCTTAGATCCTTGCATTGCTGAGAAGAGCTAAGTCTGTCAAAGTTAGTCATCATACAATGTGTACAACGTTCTCCTGGTTCTGCTCACTTCACTCAGCATCAGTCCATACAGTCTTTTCAGGTTTTTCTGAAGCATGGACCCATTTAGTAGTCTGGTGAAACCTATGGACTTCTCAGAACAATGTTTTTAAATCCGTAAAATAAATGCATGGAATTACTGAAAAAACCTAATTTAGTTATCAAAATATTAAACAAACAAAAACTTTATAGACACTAGGTTAAGACTTGTTGGGCTAGAGGAAAGCTTCTATAATTGCAACTTGACCCAGTAGCTCTCAATACTTTAAGCCAGAGGTATCATATGTGGGCAATATTCCCAGGGCAGATTAAAATGTAATTGGGAAATATAAAAAATACAATAGAACCTAGATAATATTAAAATGCAATTTTTTAAGTCAATATACAGCCTGCAGGTTTCATGGCCCCATTTTTGTTTGAGCTTGGCACCACTGCTCTAAGTCACTTGGGGAGAATATAAAAATTACCTTGTTACAGCAGCATAAGTTCAAATGTCTAAAGAATCGAGGTAAGTGGTTAAGTCATAGAAGAATCTGCTAGGCTCTGAGCTCCATGGTGCCAGGGACCGTGTCCTATCTAAATTTTGTACCTTCCAATTTGTCGTTGTTTAGTTGTTTTTAGTCATGTCCAGCTCTTTGTGACTTCTTTTGGGGGGGGGTTTCTTGGTAAAAATACTGGAGTGGTTTGCCATTTCCTTCCTCAGTTCATTTACAGATGAGGAAACTGAGCAAACAGAGTTAAGTGATTTGCCCACTGTTGCATATCTAGTAAGTGTCTGAGGCCAGACTTGATCTCAGGTCTTCCTGACTCTAGGCCCAGCACTTTATTCATTGAGCCACCTAGCTACACATGCACACGTAAGATAAGTACAATGTTTCATCTGCTTCTCTTATTTTAATGCATCACCATCAAATTCTCCTGTGTTTTAGTAGACAGTTTTCATGAGTTTCTGTGGCTTAAAAACAGTAATGGATTGGTAGCCAGCCTTCTGTCAGTGATCCTTGCTGAAATCAACAATGCTAGTCCTCAGTTAGCAGACATACAATTATCCCTTAATGGCCTTCCTTACTGGCCTTTCCAGCATGATAGAACTTATCAGGAGTTGTTCTTTCCTGGTATTGATGTCATGAACCCAGAATTACCTTCGCACCATGAGGAGGCATCAAAGTAGGGCTTTAGTAAGAACTTTGCCCATAATACATACTTAACACAGGAATGCTGAATAAATTTTGAAAAATATCTTTGACTGTATACTAGGAGAGGACTTGATAGTCTGTTTTGTGGTGTGTCTGAGAATAATTCATTGTTCAAGTACGTGAAGTGATGTGACTTACCTAGCAACCTGCTAGATGAATCACAAAGTCACTTACTGTGACTTAGTATGGCTATGGACAGAAAAAGAACTTAATGTATATTTTAGAATTACATGATGAGGTCATTATGGCCCTTGAACTAGTGTTGCCAAGGACCAGGTAATGAAGATTGGTGGGAATTGGCCCATGTGCCCGAGTTTTGTTGATTTCGATTCAGTCCATTAATTCAGGAAATGTTTATTAAGTCCTAATTATGTGCAAGGCACTGCCAGGGGTGCTAGACTACAAGGGTAAAAACATCACAGTTCTACCTTGCGTTCTACAGTCCTTAGTACGCATATCATCGGTGGACTGACACAAAGTGAACATTCAGAGCAGCTCGGTGGAGCAGTGGGTAACAACACTGGAACTGGGGTCAGAAAGACCTGAGTTTAAATAGCTGTGTGGCCCTGTGCAAGTCACTTAAACTCCCTCAGCCTCAGTTTCCTAATGTGTAAAATGAGGTTAATAATAGCATCTACTCCCTAGGTTTCTTATTAGGATCAAATAAGATAGTACGTGTATAGCCCTTTGCAAACCTTAATGTGAGTACTGTATAAATGCTAGTTATTGTTATTCCAATTGGCCTCCTGTGACTGGTACCTAATTAGCTTTAGAGTTTCTCTAAGTAACAGGAGTTTTTTAACTTGGGGTCTCTGAACTTGTGGGTTTTTTTTAAATCTTGACTGAATATATTTTTTAAAAGATTGTTAAATATCTTTAAATATCTATTTTAAAAACAAATATCTTTTAAAATATCTTTAAATATGTTTTAAAATGTCTTAAATATCAAAATATCTTAAATATATTTTTAAAATACCCATTTTAAAAATGTTTTAAATAGCAAAATATCTTAAATATCTTTATTTCAACATATTTGGTTTCCTTTGTAATCCTGTGTATTTTAAACAAAAATCTAAGAGGGGCCCTTAAACTTCACCACAGTACCAGAAGTGTCCATGATACAATAAATGTTAAGAACCCTTACTCTAAATAAAGTGAATGCTTTTGGGTAACAGTAGTGGTAGGCTCAGAAGATAGGTATAACGACTACTATAATAATTTATGTTTTTCTAGTGCTTTATTGTTACAAAGTTCTTTGCATGTCTCTCCCATTAGATTGAGCTGCTTCAGAGGCGGGCCTGTTTTTGCCTTTCCTTACAGCTCCAGTGCTTAGCACAGTGGCGGCACATTGAGGGAATTATTAAATGCTTGTTGGCTCTCTTACCTTATCTTAGTTAATCCTGCAATTGACTCTGTGAGTTGTACATTGTAAAAGTATTTTTATCACCATTTCATAGGTAAAGAAATGCAGCCTTTGAATGGTTAAGTCCCAGGTTTACACAAGGAATCAGTCAGGATTTGAATACAAACCTTCTGGTGCCAATGCCAATTCCCTTTATACTTTTTACTTTCCTTTCCTTTTTATATCCCTAGAGCTTAATACAGTGTCTAGTAAGTGCTTAATAAATGTACATTGATTGACATCTCCTACAAAGACACCTTTCTGGGAAGGCACCTCCTGATTTCTAAAAGCATTCCCAGCGTACATTAACAGATACCACTAAATCTTTTGGGGATACAGATGATCAGAGATTGATAAAGTTGCCTTTCTTCTCTCATGGTCGGCCTGAAATTTCTGAGACTGATCACAAAGGAATGTGAAACTCTTGTCATCTGCTTGCTCCTCAGTGCGAGGGAAACACATTCTCTGTGGCCCTATCCGTGTTGAATCATTGTTTACGCCCATCTATGCGTTTCAGACCTGTGCCAGCAGGATGCCTGTTGTGTGCTGCACTCATTTAATGAAGGAGCTAAGTGAAAACCCAAAACCACCCAGTTGGGGAAATCCAAATGTAACATAATAAGCCAAACTGAATTTTTGCTGTGACTAATGGTCTCTAAAGTTCTTGAGACAATGCAAAGAACACTTTTGGTTTTGAGTTCCTTCTGAAATAGATGATGATAATATACATTTATTGGGCTTTTTAAGATTTACAAATGCTTCCATAATAATCCTGGTAAGTAGTTTAAGTGTTATTAGCCCCATTTTTATACATTATGAAACTGAAGCTCAGAAAAGTACCTGCCATGTAAGGGCCACAGTAAGCTTACATCAGCCAGCCTGCTTTGGCTTAGCGTGTAGCTTAACATTAAATGCTGGAACTAGAACTTCTTTCAGCCTATGGAAAGAAAGAAAGAAAGAAAGAAAGAAAAGAGTTTCGGTAAAAGGTTGACAAAAAATACACAGAGGAGAGCAGAAGAAAGTTGAGAAGGGACCAAGGAGAGCAGTTTTGTTACTATCTATGTTAACTATACTAACTATATATGTTAAATTTGACATATATTTTTTTAAAAACCTGAATGCAGAGGGGAGAGGAGAAATACAGGGGCAAATGTAGATTAACAAAAGTTAAAAAAAAAGTTATCTTAAAATAAATGTATTTAAAAACAAATGATATAACAGGTCACTGTTTTATATGCAGTCCTCTCTTCTACTTATTGAAATATTCATGTTTATTTTTGTTGGTCAAATTCATAATTAAAAAAAAGATGATTTTTTTTTTAAAGAAGGCATAGATTGAGATTCTTTTAGAACAAATGGGAAGCTGAGAGTAGTCTGTTGCAAGGCATCAACTTTTCCCTCCTCCATGAGTGTGGAATATCTGTGTTCAGTTTGGCTGGAGCCAGGTGACCAGAAATCCTAATTAGGAGATAAGTTTTCCAGACAGCTTGGACACTTAGATTTTCCTTTCAGATCTGACTAGTGTTGGCATGAAGCTATGGATTGAAATGTTGTCCAGATGAGTTCATTTCCCAGAACTTTTTACCTTTCCAGAGTCCTCTAAAAGGAGGCAAAGTTTGTTTTCTCAGCTAAGGGTATTTTTCCCACAGGAAGGTTTCTGATGTACCTACTAGGGCCAAAGAATGATTTTATTCCAATGTTGACTCATTATTCAGATTTTTTAAAAAAAGCACTATCATTTATTAGTACTCTAAGGTCTGTAAAGCACTTCACCAATATCATCTCATTTATTCTCACAACGACCCTGGGAAGTAGGTGCTATTAAGTCTTGCCCAGGTTCACACAATTAGTAAGTATCTGAAGGTGAATTTTAACTCAGGT